ACTCTGAGAAACAAACTGAGGGTTCCAGAGGGGAGGGGGGTGGGGGGATGGGTTAGCCTGGTGATGGGTATTAAAGAGGGCATGTACCGAATGGAGCACTGGGTGTTACACACAATGAATCATGGAACTACATCAAAAACTAATGATGTAATGTATGGTGATTAACATAATAAAAAAATAAATATAAAAAAATTTATTCAGTGGAATCCCATATGCAATTATTATTTTCATTTTCTTGGTGATATGTATATAACATATATATGTGTGTATATATATAATAGCTACATCTAGGTAGATAGATAGGCATCACCAAATCTCTTTCCAAAGCATTATACCAGCTTACGCTTAAAAAAAAACTTTTTGAAGTTATCTTTACACCTAACTTGGGGCTCAAACTCATGATCCCAAGATCAAGAGTTGCATGTTCTGCTGACTGAGCCAGCCAGGAACCTCCCAGCTTCCTCCTCTACTAGCAGTGTATAAATGTTTCCATTTTTTCCACATCAACCCTAAAATTTGAAGTTGTAGGCTTTTATATTTTTGACAGTTGTTTCTGAAATATAAACTAATTCCTGCTTTATATTTACACATTTAAATCTGAGAATTATGGAGTTTAAGAGGGCATTATGACTTACTAACATTGATAAGATCAGTCCACACTCTTGATCTCAAGATTTAAAACTTTTCATCAGAAATCCTACACTGCTTATACAATTTCATTTTTCTAAACCGGTGGTTCTCAGTGTGTGGTTCCTGAGGAGCAGCATTAGCATCTTCTGGAAACTTCTTAGAAATGCAGATGATAGGAACCTACCCCTGGCCTACTGAGCCAGAAACTCTGGGGGTGAGAGCCCAACAATATCATTTTAAACTAGGTGATTCTGATACACACCAGAGTTTAAGAATCACTGATCTTGGCCATGGTAGTGCCTGGTCTTTCCTGCTACCTACCTCACTCCCTCACCCTACTCCTACTCCCCAACATGACTACTCAGATGCTTTCTCCATATTATTCCACGAAAGGTGTTCTTACTTGCTTGATGTATTTACATGTCCTATTAAGTTGAAACCTTTGCTGAACACTGAAATGCTTGAACTTATCTGAAATATACTCAATTTGTTCAATATCCCAGCCATACTGTGTTTCTTATATCCCCAAACGTAAAATTACTATTTCACATTTCTGGGCCTTTTTTTTCTCTTAATGCTCTGCTCCTTGCATTCCAGAAGAAATCCCAGTATCTCACCAGATCTCCTTGGAGAGACTACGCAAGCGCGAAGTGCTTGTTCTCTCCTTCCTGCATCGCTATGAGTCTTACATGCTACCACTCAAAAGGATGACACGGCTTTGCCACAACTGTTTGTTGATGTGTCTCTCTTCTCATCTGGGTTGCAACTGCTTTGCTTTAGCATCAGGTTAGATTCATAGCAAATGAGTATGCACATGAATCTGATTCTTTTTTTTTTTTAAGTTTTTATTTTATTTTTGACAGAGAGTGTGTACAAGGAGGGGGAGTGGCAGGCAGAGGGAGAGGGAGAAGCAGGCTTCCCGCTGAGCAGGGAGCCCGATGTGGGGCTCGATCCCAGGACCTTGGGCTCATGACCTGAGCTGAAGGCAGACGCTTAACCATCTGAGCCACCCAGGGGCCCCGATATGGATCTGATTCTTTTCTAAGTACTAGGGAGACACAAAGGAGACTGAAACATCAGACCTGTGTGTGAATTGTTTATAGAATTTATCCTTCAGAGAAGTCTTCTTTGAAATTTCTCTGTTACAATGTTCATTCTTTTATTGCACAAGTATTTTGGATCTTGTAATCCAGGGATGTCTGTGTGCTACTCTGACGTGCAACATAGTACTTCAGTTGCTTCATAGATGTCAAGCTTATTTCTCTCAGGCGGATCTGAAGCTACCTAAAAATAAAATTTGTGCTTCAACTTACTTTAACACCTCTTTATAAAGCCTAGCACAGGGTTGGGCCCAACTGTTATTTAATAATTTTACCTCGATTTTTATGAGCTAAGGCTCCACTGTGAAATACAATATAATTCCATTATATTAAATTCTCTTGTGATACAGTTACAGATTGAAGACATATTTCTGTCCATTGATTAGATAAATTTAGGCAGTTTTGTATGTATGCAACAGCTTTGGAAATAAAGCAACAATATAACTTTGTAACTCTTATCTGCCATTAGAAACAATAATTTGACTCACACAAACTGTTTTTTATATCTTTCAGAACTGAAACAAGAAAATGTTTTTTTCACATCTGATTTTCTTCCAGAATCTCTACTACAAGA